TGGCTGACCACCAAAGCATCCACCTGCTCATGCCACACCTGCTGAAGATCCGAAATCAGCAAGGCATAACCCTGCTTGGTGATAAACGCCTTGGCCAAGAGTGAGTTCTCACCGAGTTGTAGCCATGCCCACGGCTGCATCAACAGGCCTTGCTCTAGTTCTTCCATCTGCAGGAAAGTCCTAATTTAGCACAGGGCTCCAGGATATTCAGCCCCTGAGAGGACCACTCACGATTCCACATCAATTGGAATCGTGTGAAAACCCTCCCTAGTAAAACAGACATAAAAGCACAACTCCTGCTTTACATAGCCAGCTTAACTACCCCTTCACAACTGACCTAAAATTAGTTTAGAATCTGGGGCTGGAGAGATGGCACAGAGGTTAAGAACACTGATTGCTTTCCCAGAGGATTAGGGTTGAATTCCCAGCACCCACATGGTAGTTCACAACTCCATGTTCCAGGGGATCCAAGGCCCTCTTCTGGCCTCCTCAGGTACTGCACATCTAGTATCTATATGCATGCAGGAGAAAAACACTCATACACATAAAACAAAACCAAAATCTTTTTTAAAGATCAGAATATTGATGGGTGGTGGTGTGCACACCTTTAATCCCAGCACTCAGGAGGCAGAAGCAGGCAGATCTCTGTGAGTTCAAGGCCAGCCTGGTCTACAGAGCGAGTTCCAGGACAGCCAAGACTGCATAGAAAAATCCTGTCTCAAAAAAACAAATTAAAAAAAAAAATCGGATTGGGGGCTGGAGAGATGGCTCAGTGGTTAAGAGCATTGCCTGCTCCTCCAAAGGTCCTGAGTTCAATTCCCAGCAACCACATGGTGGCTCACAACCATCTATAATGAGATCTGGTGCCCTCTTCTAGCATACAAACATACATGGAAAGAATGTTGTATACATAATAAATAAATAAATCTTTAAAAAAAATCGGATTATTTCTTACGTTAAGTTCCTAAAGAACAGAAAACATGTCTTTACCAGGTATGGTGGTGCATGCCTGTAATCCCAGAACTGAGAGATGGAGCCTGGGAGTTCAGGATCCTTAGACAGGCTGGGGACACATGAGTCAGATGCACCTTGATATAAAAACAGAAAAGAAGGAAGAAAAAGAAGGAAAGGGCAAATCTCTTTCTTCCATAGTGTTAAATCAGCATGTTGGTGCATTTAATATGGGAACCCAAGCCAATCCTATTGAATCTTTACTTGAATCCCATATATGTCAATGCTATCTTTCCCAGAACTTTTAGAAGGAAAAGAATGATTCTCATCTTGAAAAAAAATTGTCAGGGTGGTGGTGGCACGCGCCTCTAATTATAGCACCTGGGAGGTAGAGGCAGGTGGCTCCCCAAGTGTGGTGCCAGCATGGTCTGTAGTGGGTTCCAGGCAGCCAGGGCTACACAGAGGATCCCTGTCTCAAAATGCTAAATAAATAAAACTTAAGTCCTAAATGTGAGGGTCAGGACATTTAAATTATTTGGTTGCTAAACACAAAGTATGGGTCAGTAGCAAAGGGCACTTGTGGCAAGCCTGATGAGCTGGGCTGGATTCCTAGGATTCCCGTGGTGGAGAAGAGAATTATTCCCCATGAGCTGTCCTCTAACCTTCACGTGTGCAGCAGTAAGTGCTATATTCCTTTGTTTTGTTTTTCAAGACAGTTTCTCCGCTTAGCCCTGCTGTCCTGGAATTCACCTTGTAAACCAGACTGGCCTTGAACTCAGAGATTTGCCTGCCTCTACCTCCCGAATGCTGGAATTAAAAGCATGTGCCACCACCACCCATGCTATAATTTTCATAATAAAAAAAAAGAAGAAAGAAAGAATACGAAACACATGAACTCTGGAAGCAAACAAAAAATCCTAAAGCAGACTTGGTGATGTGCACCTATAATCCCAGTACTGGGGAAAAGGAGGTAAGAGGGCCAAGGTTGGGCTGGGAGATGACTCTACAGGTGCAGCGCTTGCCTACACAAAAGCCTGGTGGGGTGGTATGCACCTGTAGTCCCAGGAGAAGCCAAGAAGGGGGCAGCTACACCCAGGCCTACTTACCAAAGCTCTAGGCTGAGACTCTATCTCACACAAACAGTAGGAGGTGCCTGAGGACCACCTCCGAGATTGTCTTCTGACTTCTACATGTACATGTGATGCACACATGTACATACATCCTTACCCCAGATAAGAGAATATTAAATGAATAAATAAAATTAAAAAGTAAATGAAATTAGCCAGGCGGTGGTGGCGCACGCCTTTAATCCCAGCACTCAGGAGGCAGAGGCAGGTGGATCTCTGTGAGTTCGAGACCAGCCTGATCTACAGAGCTAGTTCCAGGACAGGCTCCAAAGCCACAGAGAAACCCTGTCTCGAAAAAATAAAAATAAAAAAACAAAAGTAAATGAAATTTTAAAATTTTCAAACAAACAAAAGTTCAACCTCCATAGTGAGTTCAAGGCCAGCCTGGACTACATGCAACCCTGTCCCAATTTAAAAAAAAAAAAAAAAAAAAACCTAAAACAGGGGTTCATTTTGAACTTTTAATTTAGTTATCCTCTCACAATTGCACACATATATAATGTACTTTGATCATACTTTCCCTCGTGTATAATAGAAATCCTTACTCAGAATCTGTTCAAGTTAATCCTCTACAGTTATGGAAAATTCATGTGTACGTGCGTTATGGAAGATGCCCACAACCGCCAACACATTAGTAACGAGCCGACAGTAATGACAGCGTCGTGACAGACACACAGTGGCACACCAAGGGTTAGAAGGAGCAAGAGAAATGTTCCAGTCCCTTTCAGCAAAAGAGCAGGCAGCACACTTCACACCACAGAGAAAATGACAGTCCCACCTCACTAACTGGGCACAACCCCACATCACCAGCATGCCTTCTGCAGAGCTTGGAACTCCTAGAGACCAACATTTCTACCCCAATAAAGAATGCTGTGGTCTGGCGAGATGGTCCAGTGGTTAAGAGCACTGGCTGATCTTCCAGAGGTCCGGGGTTCGATTCCCAGCACCCACATGGCAGCTCACAACTGTCTAATCCAGCTCCCAGTGATCTGACATCCTCACACAGACATACATGCAGGAAAAATACCAATGCACATAAAAATAAAATCATTGACAAAATGTTGTATCCTCAAACTAGTTAAATTTGTAATAAATAAGTCTGTCTGACAGAACTGATTTTTCCTGTGGAGATAAGGTAACTTCCTTATTTTCATCTATAAATACAAAATGAAGGGAAGTGCCAGGAGGTGAAAACTTAAACTACAAAAAAAAATGAAATTCCTGTTTAAATCTGATTGTCATTTCTAACCCAGTCTAAGCCATCATCTTCCTGGGTTTCAAAGCTCTGTCTCACGGCAATCCTTAATTTGGACTGTAATTAACTAGTGTTATATAAATGTATATAATCAGAAGGACTTCATAGAGACCTAGTGGCATTACTGCCATCTTGGTTCAAGTATGTGCACTGTGTGATATCTGCACAGTGATGAGATGGCCTAATAACAGTTCTCAAAAGCATATGGCCATTTCGAGTGACATGTGACTGCCAAGATGGTGGTTATTCCAGCAGCCTTGAAACCGTCTGGGCAGAGATGGGCATTTCCATCACGTGCTGTTCCAACAGGGAAGGCTGGTCTCGGAATGATTAAAGAGTCTTCGCTGGGCAAGAGTTGACATTGGAAAAGATTAGAAAGACAAATGAAGTTGCCAAACCCTCTAATTTCCCTTATAGGCACATCCTGGCATGCACTCTAAAAGTCACCAAAATTGAGTTTATTGGCCTAACTGGTCCTTCCTTAAGTCTCGAAGGTCAAAACCCACAAGTTGATGTTTTGTCTGAATGGAAAGGAAGTTGTTTAATGTGGTCAGGGACAGCTGGCCCTATAAAAATGTATAAAACATTCAGCACCAGACCCAGGCTGGGTGCTCCTACTACTCAGCCTAGACTGAGGTAACCGTAACTCGGTGATCACAGGCATGCCTGTGATCCTAGCACACAGGAAGCTGAGGCAGGAGGATCTTGATTTGGAAAGCAACATACCAAGAGCCTCTCAATGGTAGAAAGAATTGGAGCCTGAGATCGTCGCCAGCTTGGAGGGAGAAGGAATCTAAGTCCTCTGGGTTTTACTTTCCCCAACACAAGTTGGTCTTCAAAGACCACGTTAACCAACTTCACCGGGTTGTCTTTCAAGAGTAAGAAAGTGAAGTTGCCCCAAGTTCTGTCACTCGGCCTTGGAGTCTTCTCATGATAGTTCCTACAACACCCTGCAGAGGGCAGCAAGACCCAACAGACGAGCTGGTGGGGACACGCCCTGTGTCACCAAAGAGGGCAAACCTAGGCCCTGCAGCCAGAGGCCTCCCCGGGAGCGCCCTCCGGCGTCCATCCACCACTCCCGCAGGGCCTTCGTTCGCCCGTCTCTCATTTTTTAAAGCACCGGCTGCACGCAGATACGGCTCAGGACCCCAAAAGGGGTAGGGCCGAAATACAGTCCAGCTAAGGAGGAGCCTCATTCGCCACCCGCGAAGACTGAGGCCGAAGACGGACCGCGCACGCGCAGGACCGCCCACTCCTGGAGGCCTGCCCCAAAGCCCGGGCTGCGCGCGGTCCCTTCTGGGAAAAAGCACCCGGATAGGGGGTCACAGAGAAAGTTCCTCTCCGCTTTTCGGCGTCCGGCCGGACCCAGATCTCGGTGCCGACTCGAAACCGACCCCACCTACCGTCAACGGCTGCGGGAGCTCCCACCCTCCTCACGGCGGGCCTGCCCTCATGCGCAAACTGAAAGGCCTAGGGTAGAGGCCACCCCCCCACATACACTCGAGAAGGCGGAGTCTTGGGATACGGGGCGGAGCCAAGACCTGTGGCGGGCGGGGACCCGAAACCTCACTTGACAAGACTACTCGCAGCTCTGCTGCTTTCCTAATTCCTTTCCAGTCGAAACGAAATATTACTTCCTCCTTGCCCCTTCATTATTTACATCTTTATTATAGACTATCTCCTGCTGCACATTTTAGCTACTAATTTAAATCTTAAATGCAGGGACCCTGTCATATTCATAACTGCAGGTGCAGGACCTTGGTCGTGGGACGCACTCAATATAATTGAATGCTAGTACATTCAAGTGGCATTGGCAGTTCACAGGCAAAAAAAAATCTCATTTATTCGCTTAATGACCCACTAAACCCATGGCCCCCGCTTCTGAACACGTTAGCCTAAGAGAAGGAAAGGCATCCCATTCTATTGGGAAACGGCGCATCTAGATGGGCCACAAACACCTTCTCACCAGTCAGGTGAGACTCCAGCAAACTGGGAGTTACTGCTAGACTGATGAAGACAAAAATGGTGCTCGTGGTAATTACTGGGACCTAACTGCTTCTCTGCTAGCTGCGGGGCATGACTCCTCAGAGTTAGGCAACAAGTCGGCCATCTCTCCTGTTTTAGAGGGCCCTCCTTCCTCATCCTCAGAGTCTTCAGGCATTGGACAGAGGCAATGGAGAGGCTGTGGGATGTGGGAACACAGGTTTGTGATGGGTAAAGGAAGCCCATACTCTTGAGCAGCCTTCTCCCTGGACTTCTGAGTTTCTTGGGCAGTGAAAGAAGTTGGCAGCCGTTGACCTAGGCCTCGCTCAATCCGTGTACCTGCAAAAGAGGGTTTGGTCAGGCTGGAGGGATAGCTCAGCTGTTAAGAGCTGGTTACTGTTCTTACAGAGGACCCAAGTTCGAGTCCCAGCTCCAATATCAGACGGCTTACAACTGTATCTCTGCATCTGGGAGGATGTGCATTCGTATGCATATACCCACAGATTCACAGACATACACATCTTTAAAAATAAGTAAGCCAGGCATGGTGGCACACAACTTTAATCCTAGCACTCGGGAGGCAGAGACAGGTGGGTCTCTGTGAAGTTGAGGCTGGTCTGGTCTACAGAGTGAGTTCCAGGACAGCTAGGGCTGTTATTCAGAGAAACCTTGTCTCGGAAAAAATAAGTAAAAGGAGGGGCTGGGCTGGTCATTACCCAACCCTGGTCCCAACTTACCAGAAATGGTGTTTTCTAGAAGAAAGCCCAAAAGACCCGCTAGAAAAATGGGTTCTGCCAACAAAGAACGCAGGAACATATCCAAGGGGCTCCAGCCTACAAAGGATTGGGGCCAGGCAGGAAGGTAACTGATACTGTCCAAGGCAATGTGTCTTCCCTTTCAGACCTAAATTAAGTCTTGGACCAGGGACAGGTTTCACTAAGCCATCGTTCCATCCCACTACATGTGTCCCGCTACAAACTCCCTTTCCCACACTCAGGCCCTTCCCAGAGGATCCCTCTTAACACTGTGTTTTCTTTTTTTGCTTTTCTTTGTTTTTGTTGTTGTTCTTGTTGTTTCGAGACAGGGTTTCACTGTAGTTGTGGAGCCTGTCCTGGAACTAGTTCTTGTAGACCAGGCTGACCTCGAACTCACAGAGATCTGCCTGCCTCTGCCTCCTGAGTGCTGGGATTAAAGGGATGTGCCACCACCACCCGACAACACCATATTTTCTAAGCACCCACATACCCTCTGGATTCCTGTTGTTCAAGGATCCCTTTCTCTGGACAGTTTTGGGATTAAAAAGCCCTGTCTCTTCCACTTCTGACCTTTGGTGCTCTAGCCTGAGCCTCAACACTTCAGTCCTACAACACTTTGGGCCGGGTAATTTTGCTATGAGCAGCTGTCCAGTGCACTAAAGGATGTCTACCAACCTCTCTAAGCACTGAATGCCTGTAACAATCCCTTTTCTCACTGGATGTAGTAGCGCATGCCTCTAATTCCAGCACTCAGGAGGCAGAGGCAAGAAGACTCTGAGTTCGAGGCCAGTCTGGTCTACAAATCAAGTTCCAAGACATCTGGGTGGTTACACAGAAAAACCCTGTCTCAAAACAAACAAACAAACAAATCCTCTTTCTCCCATTTTGTAACGTCCGAAAAAAAAAGTCTCCAGACATGGCTAAATCTTCCACATGGAACAAAACTTGAAAACCACGGCTCTGGATAACCCATGCTGTTTGTGGATCTCAGGATACGCTACTTCTGTCCCATAATCCTATCCTTTATCTTTGTGGATAGTGGAAATGTGACCAAGAATGACCTTATCGGCTGTCCCTGTGGTTGACATCATCATCTTGTCACTTGGGAGTCTGAAGCAGGAGGACTGCCAAGAGTTTGAAGCCAGACAAGTTTCCAAAAGGAGACCCTGTCTCTCACACAGAGAAATGGCCTTTGCCAAATAGGTTTAAGTTTTTCCATCCTCAAAGACCAATTTGGTTCTACTGAATCACCTCAGTCAGAAGCTACTCTTGTCATTGAGTGCCATGGGTCCTTTGCTTTTGTTTTTCTCTGGGCCACTCTGTGTACCCCTGACTGGCGTGGAACTCACTGTGCAGACTACTGGCCTCAAACTCGCAGAGGTCCCACAAGCTGGGGTTTAAGGCAAGGTCTGCCATGCCTTCCTCACAGCTCTTGTCTTAACCTCATCGTCATGCTCCTGAACAAATCCCCTCCTTCATACCACTGTACCATCCAGAAGCACTTTTGTGTCTTGACCTAGTTAGCTTTCTTTAAAAAAATTTGTTTGAGGGGAGGAGTTTTGTAACTGGCCAGCCTGAACTGTCAACTTGTCACTGCCTAGAGTGACCTGAGAAGAGAGTCCCAACTGAGGAATTGTATAGATTAGATTGGTTTGTGAGGAAGTCTGTGGGGGAATTGTTTTGATTGGTGATTAGTTTAGTAGGGCCTGGCCCACCATAGGCAGTACCATCCCTAGACAGATGGTCCTGGACTGTATAAGAAGTTAGCTGAACATAAGACAGCATCCTCCATGGTACTGGCTGTGAAGTGAGTTCCTTGTTTGGCAGTAACGCTGTGTAGATTAGCAAGCAGACTTGCCTTAAAGATTTTGCCTTGAGTTCCTGCCATGGCTTCCCTCCAGGATGGAATGTGGCCTGGAATAAGCCTCCCTCTCCCCCAGAGCACAAAAGCAGGAGCATAGTGCTCAATAAAAGTTTGTTAAATAAATGGATGAAGTATATGCAAAATCTCATTGTGAGAACAAGAATTCAGAGAGCCTAAAGCAGTGGCTCCAACCTTCCAAATGCTGTGACCCTTTAATACAGTTCTTCATGTTGTGCTGACCCCCAACATAAATCTTATTTCCTTGTTTGTTTTTTTTTTTTTTTTTGAGACAGGATTTCTCTGTAGCTTTGGAGCCTGTCCTGGCCTCAAACTCACAGTGATCTGCTTGCCTCTGCCTCCCAAGTGCTGGGATTGAAGGCATGCACCACCATCACTTGGCCCATAAATTATTTTCATTGCTACTTCATAACTGTAATTTTGCCACTTTTGTGAGTCATATCATAAATATCTGTGTTTTCTTTCTTTCTTTTCTTTTCTTTTCTTTTTTTTTGGTTTTTTTTCTTTTTT